TTAAATACTTTTAGCCATGGGATGCCTGGGTGGCTCAGTTGGTTAAGTGTCTGCCTTCGGTCCAGGTCATGGTCCCAGGGTCCTAGGATCGAGTCCCACATCAGGGAGCCTGCTTCTTCCTCTGCCTGCCACTCCCCCTGCTTGTGTGCACGCTCTCTCTCTGGCAAATAAATAAATAAAATCTTTAAATACTTTTAGCCATGACTGGGCTAAAGGCTCTGTCAGAGCCTGCCTTGTTGCTCCTTTACCTGCTTCAGATCCCTGAAATTGGTCCTGTTACTTGAGGCCCATGCGTAAGCCCAACCACACCCTTATTTTTCAGTCAGCCATTACTAAAGACAGACACACATCAGCATGTGGGTCTTGAATTAAATTGTGCCGACAACCAAGCTCGGTGCCTCATGTGCCCAGAATGAGCCCTGGTGGTTTCCTGCTTAGTTTCTTTCTCTCAGGCCCTTCCCTTGAAATTCAATCTACAGAGCAAGGAGGACCTGATACCCTAGTCAGCTCTCAACAGTCTCCTCCAAGCCTGGCTATCTCCTTCTTGCTCCCTATATCCCGTCACATTCTTGCTCTAAAAATCAGAGTCTCGAGATGCTTGGGTGGCTCAGTTGGTTAAGTGTTTGCCTTCGGCTCAGATCATGATCCCAGGGTATGGGGCTCCTTGCTCAGTGGGGAGCCTGCTTCTCTCCCCCTGTCTGCCGCTCCCCCTGCTTGTGCTCTTTCTCTGTCAAATAAATAAATAAACTCTTTAAAAAAATAAAAATAAAAATCAGAGTCTCCTGGAATTGTGATGCAAGCTCTTCACTGCATTATTCCTGGTAATATCCCACCACAGTAGCCTCCTCTTCCATCTAACCAGACCAGACCAGACTTGTCCCACTGGCCACCATGTTACCTCCCAGTCCCAACATGCTTCATGCTTGAACTGGCTCCCAGTATACACAACTACATAGCCATTCCCACCAACTTTGTATCATCTGTAAATTTAATGGGCATGCCTTCTAACCATCTAGTATGACAAAATTAAAATACAAAAAGATCTCAACAGATTGTAATAGGAGGAAACCAACAAAATGAAAAGTAATTGGGAAAGCTATAAAGTCCTATATTTAGGTATAAAAAATCAATTCCAGGTGTGCCTAGATGGCGCAGTTGGTTGAACGTCAGACTCTTGGTTTCCGCTCAGGTTGTGATCTCGGGGTCATGGATCCGCACTCAGCACAGAGTCTGCTTGGAACTCTCTCCCTCTCCCTTTGCTCCCCCACCCCAACCCATGCTCTCTTTCTCTCTCTCTCTCTCTAAAATAAATAAATAAACCTTAAAAAAAATCAATTCCAAACTTGGAAGCAACGAAGATGTCCTTTAGTCGGTGAATGGATGAGCTATAGAATACCTAGACAATGGACTATTATTCAGCACTAGAAAGAAACAAACTATCAAGGCATTAAAAGACATAAAAGACCTTTAAGGAGATAATACTATGTGAATAAAGCCAGTCTGAAAAGCCTATATACTGCATGATTACAACTATATGACATTGCGGAAAAGGCACAACTATGAAGATGCTAAAAAAGATAAGTGGTTGCCAGGGGTTGGAGTGTTAGCAAGGGATGAGTAGGCAGAGCACAGAGGATTTTTAAGGCAGTGAAACTATTCTGTATGATATTATAATAGTGGATATATCATTATAGATTCATCAAAACCCACAGAATGTATAATACCACGAGTGAACCCTAACGTAAACTATGGACTTTGGGCGATAATGAGGTATCAATGTAAATTCATTGGTTGCAACAAACTTACCACTCTGGTATATGGGATGGTGACAGCAGAGGACCTGCACATGTGCGGGAGCAGAGGGTAGATGGGAACTCTCTGCATCTTCTGCTCAATTTTGCTATGAACCTAAACTGCTCTTAAAAATTCAGTTCCAGTGGCGCCTGGGTGGCTCAGTCAGTTAAGCGTCTGCCTTCAGCTCAGGTCATGATCCCCGGGTCTTCAGATGGAGCCCCAGGTCAGGGAGGCGTCTGCTTCTCCCTCTCCCTCTGCCCTTCCCCCAACTTGCATTTTCTCTCTCCCTCCCACCCTCTCTCTCTCAAATAAATAAAATCTTTTAAAAAATTAATTAATTAAAAAATTTAAAAATCAGTTCAACACATACTAACATAAAATCATTTAAAGAGTTGGAGAGTTCTAGCTTCACAGCTCCAACAGTGGAATGCAACTAAGAAAAATACCATCTTGAGCTTTACTAACACAGAATTACAGTATCCTGACCCAAAGTCTACTCAATCCAGGGCTGGTTACTTTTGTCTGTCTTCTCCCACTGGGATATAAGCCTCAGGAAGGTAGATCCTTTGTCTGTCATGCCTTATGTTTTGAGGGCCTAAAACAGTGCCTGGCACATAGTAGGTTCTCAACAAATATTTGTTAAATGAATATATGATTTTTTTTTAAGATTTTATTTGTTTATTTGACAGACACAGCAAAAGAGGGAACACAAGCAGGGGCAGTGGGAGAGGGAGAAGCAGGCCTCCTGCTGAGCAGAGATCATGACCTGAGCCAAAAGCAGACGCCCAACGACCGAGCCACCCAGGCACCCCTGAATATATGATTTTTAAAAAGGTCAAAGAATGAACCTTACCCCAATGCCCATCGGCAATCCACAAGGCTTTAAAAATCATACCCCCAATGGTTGTTATTTTGTAATAAAATAATTTCAAAATTCTAACAAATTTTTTATGAATTTGGACCTTCAAAAGGTTAATAAATGGATAAGCAAAATCTACAGAAGTGTATCTGTGGCTAGGTGACAGACACCTCCATGCAGTCTGCTCTCTCTGCTCAGTTTCAGGTTGAAATTGTTCGCTTCACAACCAGACCCTCCTCATCAGAAATGTACAGCCACCAGGGAGGGAACTTGATGGATAGAGCTAAAGGTTGAGGGTCTTTTGTCATAATTTGGAGAATACTATTCCAGAGAAGAAATGTTTTATAGGACCAGACTCTCCTAGATGGTTGAAAACACAGCCAAATACTGGGTTTCATTTCCAGCTGATCCAAACTGTATTAAATACGTGAAGAAAACGGTCTCTTGGGTTGAAATCTAGGTAACTAAATAGATTATTAGATCTTTAGGAAACAAAGTAAGAGGCCCGTGGAACTCTCAGGAATTACTATTATATCTCTACCTAATGATTCCTAAGAGTAGCCTGTACATACTTTCAGAGAATCTTGTTAACATGGTCCAGGGACACACAAATCCTTGCAAAAAGAAGTCCCTCCCAACAACTCACTTGAACACTCCCCGCTCCCTTTGCAGCCCATTTTTGTCTCATGCCTGAACCAAAGGCCATGCTCTGGAAAGCAGTTCTCATGTGCCCTGAGTTTCACTCTTAATCCATCCTCTCCATCATTACTCCTAACTGTTCTCCTCTGGGGCATGTCCCCCAAGTCTCCACATCCCCACCTGAGCCCTATTTCCCAGTGAGAGTGCCAAGACCCTTCCTTATTCCTTAACACAAGCTACAAGTACTGCCTGGTACACTGTATCCAGCCAATAAACTCAGGCCTTCTGCTCAATTAAAAAAAAAAAAGACAAGCAGAAAGCATACTTACTAATACAGGCTAAGGTGGTCCAGCTGGCTGTGCATGTGGATGGGGTAGGTCTCTGCCAGGTGAATCAGCTTTTCTATGGCTTCATAGATGAAAATAATGCAAATCAGGGAGGCAAACGCTTCTTCCGTGAAGCGGGTAATGTAACAGACAAGGGAACTGGCATCAGTTGCCACAAGGACAATACACAGGAAGGCGGTCCACAGTCCAATACAAGCTCGCAGGGAGAGGTATGAAAGAGCGTAGTCTCTGAAACAAGACCAAGGTTCATCAGAAAGTATGGATGGACGAATTACAAGACAAAGGGTCAGAAATGTGGTTAGTTCATCTCGTAGTACCCATTCAAGTATTGTGACCTAGTTTATCCCTAATTCTGACTGTCCTTCCCTCCTAAAGGTTGCCCAGGGACAGCTGTGACAAAAGATCTGCTCCACAGCTGGTATTTGCCACAGCAAGGACGTGGGAAGCAGAGAAGGAAGGTATTGCCCCTCACCCATTTCTGCCGTTACCGGCCAACGTGATTCAGATCTTATTCTTGCAGCTAGGAAAAAAGGAGCTCACCCTTGTTCCACATGTTCCTACTCCTAATGCAAAATGAAGAAAAGATTTTATAGGAAAACTGGGAAACAAGGGCACTGCCAAGTCCCTACCATCACTAGCAACCAGAACATGAAGGGGGCATATTAGGCCAAATTAAAAATGGACTTGAAATAAAAATAGAGGAATCTGAATTAGCTAGGGAACTTTTTTTTTTTTTTAAAGATAAAAAGTGAAGACTTCAATGATGGCTGAGGGACATTAATAAAGCTCTTTAAGACTTTATTTTAGGTACGGTACTACCCGGGGGGCAGGACAACAGACCAAATGATGTTCTTCTTTCGGGTTTTACAATCCAGAGTAATATTTGCCTACTTATACTCGCCTAAGATCCTGGCATTCAATCCTAACCACATAATAACACATCCAGTTAGAGTTTTCAGAAAACCAAATGTCTTACTTGCAGAATTTGAACAAAATCTTTTCAAATACAAGCACTGGCCCCGTACTTCCCAGGATGGTGAGAGCCTGTCCCGCAAACAAGGAATAGGCAATCCCAGTCATGGAGGCTCCAAACAAGGATTCAATTGCACTCTGAGGGGGGAAAAGAAATCATCAGAGTCCATAGCCCATCTGTAACCAGTAATGTGGGCTTCTGTACATTCCTGACTTAGCTCTCTTGTGTGCCCCGCCAAGCCATTTGCTTGTATTTCATCTTAGCAAGAGTGAAGAGTACACACTATCTAATACTCCTGTAAATGGATACCACTTTGATAATTCAGGTGCCCAAATCCAACCACATATGATTCCTTAACTAAGTCCTGTTCTTCAGTGATTCAATTCAGTACTGAAATATACATAGAAAGTACAAGGATACCATTCACACTACGAGCCCTCAGTCAGAGTCACCTTAAATATCAAAAGACATTGATATATCATTTTCCGTCTTTTGAGCACCAGGTAATCCAACTGGGCAATCAACTATTGAAATTGATATCAAGCAGAAGAGAGTCTGTTCTAAAGGGAAAACTGTTGCTGTCTGGTATGAAGTCAGAAGACCACAGTAACTCAGTAGAAAGAATCCAATCTCCTCAGTCCTAGCGCAGGGGATTTTCCCCTCAGCAGACTTGGCAGGCAGCACAATATTTTAAGTCTTGTTTGGGACCAAGAGAAGTGGTTAAAAGTCCTTACTATGCGCCCCTCAGTGGCTTCTCCGAGCAATCCCCCAAAGGTGATGACAGGTGACATGCAGGCACAGTACAGGAACAGAAAGGAGGCCAAACACTGTAAGCTGAGTGCATCCCGGTAGTCGCTCCAGTACCAGGGGGCCTTCCGCTTGATGTCCAATATCAAGCCCCCAAAGAGCCTGTGGAAACATGGCAGACAGGCCTCTGACATTGTCCCTCTTCTGTGAAAGTATCTTAACAGCACCCATTTGAAAAGCATTTCAAATGTGTTCTGTACTGAAGACATACTTCGCCTGTAATTTGACCCCAAGTACAAGAGCTCTCTCGGGGGCCTGGACAGATTCTATTTGCAGCTAAGGGCGTGAATTTGAATGATTATCCCAAGCACAAAAAGAATGAATTTGGGTGTGCATATTACCCATTCAATAAGAAGTTCCAAAAAAATTAATGTGAAATTAAGTAATAGCTTCAAACTTCAAATCCTGAGCTGTTAGGAGGAAATGTGCAAAACCAATTCAAGGTATTAAAGTTGTTAGTTTTAGTATAATATGTAGTTTAGATAAAAAGCCCCATCACATGCACTTTCCTACTCTGAACAGCTACCCACCTTCCTGTTGAGAAATTAGCATAATAATTCATTCATGCAGTTGACAAGTAGTAGCAGATACTTCCTGTCAGGCATTGTGCCAGATACTGGAGATGCAGCAGTGAGCAAGACAACACAGCTCTTCTCTCCGGGACCCGCAGTCTAGTGCAGGAGATAGGCAGTGCTGTGAGGGTGCCCCGGGCGGCATAGGACAGGGAGGGACATTTCCGCAGGGACTCAGAGAAAGGACCAGGAGTCAGCCAGATGAGGCAGAGGGGCTAGCACGGGCGCCACCTAGAGGCGAGAGCGCATGGCTGACGGAGATACGGCTGGAAGACCGTGTGAGGAGCCAATGCCAATAGAGGAGGATGGAGAAGCTGGAGAAGCCAAGTCCCGAAGAGTCTTGTAAACTGTTTTACGGAATTAGAACTTTATGCTAATGGCATGTCACATCACTGAGGGATTGTAAACAGGAGGACAACATAAACATGCATTCTGGAAGGATCACTCTGGCAGGGGTGTAATGAATGGAATGTGGGGTGAGACTGGAGGCAGTGGATTGGGATGAGGAGAAGTGGATGGACTCAAGGGCTTAATAAGGAAGCAGAATCAACAGGACTTGGTGGCAGACTTTGGGGACCCTTCTCCACTTCCCAAGGATGAGACAGATCAAGAGCAAGATATCCCACACAAAGGAGGAGTAGTGTTCTCAAAGGGGGTCACTTTTTCTAAGAGTGGAGTCACTGCACCAGAGTGAAAGTTGGTAGGTGAGTCACAGAAAGAGTCACTCAGCATTCTACAGGACAAATGGCCTGGTCTCTTCTACAAATCAGTGGCACAGAAAAAAAAGGAAGGAGAGCTGTTATAGAATGGGATCATAATAACAAAATGCAATCCCTGATTGGATCCTATGTCAAACAAATGAACTCTAAAAGGATGTTGCTAAGACAATCACAAAAAGTTGAATATGAACTGAACATTAGACAATTTAAAGAATCAGTGTTAATTGTGTTAGATTTCTTAATGGCATGATAGTTGTTTTTTAAAATGTCCTCATCAAACAGAGATACATACTGAAGTAGTTACAGGTAAAATGACATGATACCGGTGATTTGGTTTTAAATAATCTAGAAAACATAAAAATAAAACAATTAAGTGGGGAGAAATAGATGAAACATAATTGGCAAAGTGTTAATCACTGTTGATGGGCACATGGGGGTTCATTATACCATTCTCTCTCCTGTCTTACATGTTTGAAATGTTCTATAATAAAAAGCTAAAGACAAAAAACGAGCTTCATGAAAGGAGGCTTGGCCAGCTCTTCCTCTCTGCCTGGGAGCCTGGAGGAGAACCAGGAGGCCTGGAACCTGGGTGCCAGGGGAGAAGGCCGAGCCAGCTCGCGTGCTCTCTCTCTCTCTCCATTTGAATGCCCTCTCTCCCCTAGCCAGGTGCAATGAGGGTGCAGGTGGACACAGGGCAGATACTGTTCTATCTTACCCATTTGCTCCTTTCCTCTGGTTTGGGTGGGTATAGTTGGGATTCACCATTCTTTAATTTACAGCAATAACATCATAATCTGGGTCTTAGCTTAGGGAAGAGGGGCAAAGCTAGCTTTGTTTTTAGTCTGTCTGGCAAACCTAGCTTAGGTAAGGAGCTATCTATAGGGTCTAACCTAGAGTGTGAGAATTCCACCTCAGGGTTTGTAACCAAGGCTCCAATTTGTAATAAAGTGTCACTATGTTTTGCTTTCTCCTCTAGGTAAATAGGACCTTACAGGCAGTTGTGACTAGTCTAGGGCGCAATATGAGTGTTTCTGGGTCTTTACTAACACAGAATCTTGGTACCATGTGAATATCACCTCTTAATCATTGATGACCTTCCTCTGAAGGGTATTATTCTGGGAAAATAATCCCCTACTACAATAATGAGCCTCACCCCGCTAGGCCACCAAAGACACTGCCATGATTGCTCAGCCCCCTGGATGCAGGAGGCACCTTCAGGGAGGAGTGTCTGTGAGTAACACAAAAGATTTATGTGAAATGGACTCATGGGACGCCAATAGAAAGAGAGGACATCTGTTTGTCTAGCAGTGATTAAAGGGGGAAGGAAGGGGCGCCTGGCTGGCTCAGTTGGTTAAGTGTCTGCCTTTGGCTCAGGTCATGATCCCGGGATCCTGGGACTCTTATCGATAATGTAACTATAAATTAATAAAATAATTTCTGAATACTGTTTACAGAGTCAGCCTTATATCTCACTCATGCATAAAAATCAGACCATAACTGCACATCTACCACAGACCAGGCATGGATGCTTCTCTTCACATTTGAGACTTCCTTTCCCTTTCAACACTATTCTTGATGTTCAAGTTTTTTGGGGGTAGGAGGCACACAGGGATATGAATTTAAGCTTGATGCAAGACAGGACTTACCCGTGTAGAGAGTCACTAGGCTCTGGAGCACTGACTTAGGGAGCCCTTCTCTGGAGGGCTTTAGGGACAGGACAGCCATCCTTTGTCTGGTGTGCTTTGAAAGAAACCTGTTTGAAGTGTGGGGGGGGGGATCATCGAGATAGCAGCTCCTGATTCTTTTTTTCATTAACCCTTCCCAAAAGCGGCATCCCCAATAAGGTAAATAAATATACCTTGGAAAAACCCTTTCCAGAGTATCCTCCCTGTGGTGAAGCTTCTGGCCTAGGAACACTCTAGTCAGATTTTCCTCTTTGTTATGTATGGGAATGTGTCAGCATCACTGCTTGCATCAACATCAGGGAGGTCCAAGATGATGTCTTAGTCCTGGCATGGAGGGTCACGTAATACAGAACTCAGAGTACTGCTTTCCACCTGTCTCTTTCCCACCTTCTTAGAATCTACACTCCCCCATCTTCATATACCTCACCGTCCAACAAGCAGAACATCCCCTAAGTCTCCAAGTCTTGCCCCAGGCTATACAACACCGTATGCATAAAGCAGGTCTTTCACCTCAAAGAAATACAACTAATGGTATGAAGAACTACAAAGCCCAGGCTGCTAATATATTTTTGGTCTGTGCAGTCCAGGCAGGTCCAGAAATTTCTAGGATGTCCATCTGCATGGGCAGGAAAACGTTCACTCTTTGAGAGTGATCTCAATACTTTGAGATTAGGAAAGGGGCAAGAGTGGGCACAGAATCATAATGTCTGATGCAGGCATTAAGTCAGCTTGTAGTAGTCACTACAAGGCTACAATGGGAGAAAGGCCATGTGTCTTGAGGTCTTCTACTAAGGGCTCTGAGGAAAACTTTAGGAGCTCAGGAAGAGGAAGTATCTCCTCACCAAGCCGACTTAGGCTCTGAGCCTAGATAACCCTTCCTTTCAGCCTTGTCAACTCATAACTTCCTGACAAGACATGAAGGGAGAGCTTCCTCACACCCTATGTGAATTTGTGAGTAAGGGTACTTTGATACTATGAGTAAGCATGTGATGATTCTGGCTGTATGAGATTCTCTTTTGGGATGTTAGGCACCATTGCTGAGAATCTATAATTGTTGAGATACGATCTAATGGTCTCCCAAACCCCCTGTGGAATTGATTATAAATGACCCCCTCAAAAGGCTTGAGATTCCAGTTTATTCTCATCTGACACAAAAAGAAACCTGAAATCTCTCTTCTGCATGGATGTCACTTGGAGGAAATCCTGTTGCTCTTATTTCCATTACCTTCAAACTCTAAGTCCTGGGGTGTGGACACCATTTATATTCAAAAGATAAATCACAAGTCTGAAATACTATCAAAGCCATACCCAAGACTCTTCCCCTAAAAAAAATACCACCTCTTCCAGGACAGTCTCAATCCTAGAACCTATTCTAAGGACAGATGGTTCCCTTGAACTGCTTCTAAATACCAGGCCTCCCACCCAATTCAGACCTCTCCCAACTTTAAAGAAAATGTTAAACTCACATTTGGAGGTTGCTCCCTCATTTCAGTGACCCCCTTCCATCAAAGGACTGTTCCTTTCCTCCATGATCGCTCCCCAGAACCCAATTATCTTTCCCCACCCTCAAATACCTTCCTCCAGCCAGGAAACACATTCCCCCCCTCTGGACACTGCTAGTTAAGTGCCTTTTCTCCTGCTTCTCAGTCTCCTTTCCTGGCTCCTCCCTGAATTTTCAAGAGTAGAAAAATAGATGACTGTCTAAAATTCTAAAAAAAAACCCTGAGTTTCCACTGCGTAGAGTACTGAGGATAGAAAAGGAAAGCAACTTCAAGCAAAAAGGAAAAAAATAAGGTGAAAGCAAGGAAGTAGAAGATGTAACAGAGCTTCTCTCCATGATCAGTGCCCTGTCCTGAGAATCTCCACTCTTCTTCAACACAAGCACAATTTACAGAGCCAGAACTATGGTCTCAACCTTCTCCCACAATCTGGGGGAAACCCTAGATGTCACTCCAACCCAAATCTGTATACCTAACCTCATCTATAGAGTCTTAGAAGGCTTTCCAAAGGAAGTGACACCTAAGCTGAGACAAAGGATAAGTGGCAGTTAGCCAGGAGATAAGGAAGGGGACGAGTGTTCAAATCAGGGAACAATGTGTGGAAAGGACTGGAGGGGAGACAGACTCTGGTAGGTGGTTTGAGGAACTTGAATGAATGAATATGATATCTGATATATTTGCAATACTTATTATAGTCAGTGGTTCCATTTGGAAAGTCATTCCCAGCCAATATACTACAGAGAAGAAGGCTGAAAGCAAAGAGTATGACTCATTCCTTTACACACCTTCAGCCCAGTAAGCAGTATGAGCTGTGAAGCATCCCCGAACTTACCGCCCAGTGCGCTGAAGTTCTGGCCCGCTGTGGCCCCCATGTGGTTCTGGTTCTATGTGGCAAACATTTCCATTTGGAACTCCGGGCATTTTCCTTTTCTCCTTTTAGCAAAGGACCCCAAAATTAGTAAAGTCAGCCATCTATTCTGTCCTTCCTGCTAACAGGGGGGAGTGGTAATGAGATAATCCAAAAGCAGCCCCCAAATAACCAAGTGTCTGTAGTTTTCAAATGCATTTAGTGATTTGGGGCAGTTTACTGATTTTCCTGAAAAACAACACCACCATATAATTTCTCCCCCTCTCTACTAGTACCTGACTCCTAACTCTGCCTTGTCCAGAAACAAAAATATGGAGGCTTTGGCATCAGCTATGACCTAAGTTCCAGTTTCAAATCTCCCTCTGTGTAATCTTACTTTCCCTTAAAACTTTGAAGATAGTTTTATTTATTTAAAAAATTAAGGATAAAAATACCTACTTGGGGATGTTGCTGGCAAGGCTGAGCCAGGCTTGTTGGCTAGTGTACAAGAGCTCCTTTCCCACCTTTAACCTGGCCGAAGCATGGGCGACTCTACTTGCCCTCTCTCTCTGCAACTTGCTCTTTTCATTGCATGGCTTCAACCACAATCTACTCCCAAGAAAAGTCCTTCCCTCCCCTCTCTGCCATTCTACATCAAACCATCAAAAGCCACTTGAAATTTCTCTAGAGTAATCCTGACTGATCACATCACCTGAGCCAACCTATGTTACTGTATACTTATTTTTTATAACTGTTCTGTTCATTCTACGTGTCCCAAAAAGGGCCATGTCTTGATTTATTTAGTATATATCCACATGGTCTTTGCTTTGTCCATGGTGGGTACTCAGTAAGTGGCACTAAGCCACCATTGGCTAATGTGCATACATTACCTGGGAAGGGACATTTTTGGGTGGTTCAATTCTAATGGTGGGGTCCCACTCCCCCGGAGGCAAAACCGTGACCTGATCCAGGAACTCATCAATCCCCGCCAGGAGATCATCTCGCTCTTTCGCCTTATATGCCACATCATGAAAAATCTACAGGGGAGAAAAAGTCCTCAGGAAAGTTGAAAATAACTTTACTTAAAACAATCACCAATGAATATGGTGAAGGACAAATATAGCCTCATGATTTTTATCTCTGTCATGTGGATCTGAAATGTGGAAAACTTTAGCATTTAAAAAAATGCAAAGATAAAAGGATAAAAAACATAAACCTGAAGATGAGATGGGTCAAAAAGAACTAGCTATATGTGTGTTAGTACAAGAAAAGATAAGACTCTAACACTGTATCATGGCCATCGCTCCAAAGAATGGAACAAAAGGCAAAATGCATGGGAAAATTTCCAAATCATAATAGTCGGAAAAACTGGGTGGAATTACTAATGAAGGTCCCTCCATGAAATAAGTTTCCCAATCAAAGAGAAATGATAAAACACAACCCCCATCTGCCTCTACCTGCTATGACACATGCCTTAAAAACCTTACATTGCAGCTTACATGAGCAGTGCACGCCTCACTAAGGTATGTGGTGGGGATTCAGCACCATGGCGGCCAAAATATCCGGTTGCCTTGGGACATTCACATTACAGTGCCTAAGCTCATACCCCTGACCCTTATGCAAACTGGTCTCGTTTACATGGAATAAGAGTGAGGTTTCTTTATGTAAATAGCTTTTATGCAGGTAATTAACTATCCTCTCTAGCAAGCTATCAGCCTTAGTATCTTTCTCTGTAGGTATCCTAATTGGCAATAATAATTTTCCCAGAAAAGGATTTCTCTGCACCCTTGTTTACTCAAAAAGGGAGAGATGACATAGGAAGAAATATCCCCAGAAGGTTTGGTCCTCCCACAAAAGGCATTCAGAGAAGTGACCTGAACTGCTTCCCAAAAGATAATTACCCAGAATGGTAATTACTTTATCTCCAACAAATAGCACAGGACCTGGCACAGAGTAAATACTCAATAAATATCTGTAGCATGAATGGAAAGCAGAAGTGATGCATACCTCATCAGTCATGATGGTAGCCATGGATCTGCCAATCTCATGGTACTGCTGACCTTTCCCTACTGGACCCAATAGGATAAACAAAAATCTGGCAACACATACAGAGGAAGAAATTATAAATTATGTCAGTAAACATAAAGAAGTGGCACCTTATTCCTCTCCAAACAATAAAACATTTCTCTTTCCTATTAAACAGAAATCACTGTTGTAACTTCAATAAAAGGAGACAGGCTAATGATGGAGCAGTAGAAGTTGCCTTGACCTAAGAGCTCCACTATGCACTGGAAGCTATTTGTAGGACATCAATACCTTTGCTCAGAGACATTTCCCTGGGACACGGCTCTGTAAAACTGGGAGACTAAGATTCAGGCTTCCCATCCTAACAAGTGATTAGCCCGTGATATGCTCTTTGGATGCTCTGCAATTCTCCATTCCCAAGCCTGTAGGTACTGTATAGTCACAGCCTTGCAAGTCTTAGAATCCTTCTGCATGGAGGTTAATCAAATATAACCCCAGTGAGAGTACTGCTGAATTTTAAATAGCATTCTCCAATTAATCCTAAATTTTGGCATTAGCTGGTTTCTTCCACCAGAGCTCACACAAATCTGTACTTGAGACGGCATGCACTGAGTTTTGCGGTCCTTGTCTTTACCTGGTTGGGATGGGCACTTCGGTCAGGCCTGAGAGAAGAACAGCTGGAGACAGCCTCACAAAGGCAACAATGGGGCGGTCCAGAGTATCCACCTCTCCAACCAGGACATTTGAGGCCTCTGCCCCAGTGGGAATTTTTTTCATGAAATGAAGATCCACCTGAAAGTCCAAAAGAATCCTCTGACAACCTAGGAGCATCACCTCAAACATCAATCACCCTCTCGTACCTTACATTTGTCTGTCATTTTATGATTTAACAAATGTTTTCTCACACTATTTCATGTAATCCTTACAATAGCTCTGTGAAGTGGATAAAACAGATCTCATCAGCCCCACTTTTTTATTTTAAAAAATGAAGCAGCTGAGACCCAGGGAGGTGAAGTTGACTTGCTCAATGGAGCTTTGAAGAGAGAGAATTTAAATCCCGGTGTTCTGATTTGAATTCCATTACACCACCCTTTCTCAGAGACTGTTTTTGAAGCTCTAGGTCACAGTTTTTCCATTTTAAAATACCTGAATGCTTTGTCAGAGGTTTCAGCTTTTCTAAATAAAACAGGGAGCCTTCCAGGCAGAGAAGTGCCATGACACCATGTGTGTGTTCTAGCTAGAGTCAAGGATAGACCAGGGCAGCCAGAGGCTGGAGGCGGGGAGATCGAGGCTTACGCCAGTAGCTGCAGGGAAGCACTGTTGCTGCAGCAGGCCTCGGACACCCAAGTCACAGTCCCAAAGAGGAGTCTCAACCGCCATGTAGTTTTAGCAGACAGGAGCAAAAATATTGTTTCAGCAAAATCCTTGGAGGTAAGAAGGAGATGCTGAAGAGCAAGGGCCAAAAAAAAAAAAAAAATGGTGGAAAAATCAGGAGGTCTGTGTCAGTGAGGATTAGCAGGGGCTACTCTCAGTTCTAGCACATTGAACCTGGTGGGCCCCATCTAGGCTGTAGTGGAAGGGAGAAGACCTGAGCAGAGGGGCCTCCTTTCCTGCAGAGGGGGTTCTGGTCTTAGACAGAGGCTGCAGAAATACCAAAGCTTACCCAGCTTCCAGCAACTGGACTCTCGGTTCCACTAGGGATGCGCTTAGGCCTCTAAGCCAAGTTCCCATGTCTGTGCTCACCTTGCTTAAATCCACGGGACTGTGTTCACAATTCACTCCATTTTTTACTTCAAGACTTGTAGTGGGAACAGACTGAGGAGACACAGTTTGACCTATTCAGAGAAAACAATTCCCTGAGTCTCTGCCCTAACCCCCTTTCGACACACCCTATCCATCATAGGTTGGCTATGGCCATGTCTCCTGCAAAGCCCATATAGAGAAGAGGTTCAGATGACATGAAGCTAAGACCCCCACATACATATCTCCTTACCCACTAGTTAGTGGTAAAGGGAGGACAGAAGTCTTACTACTTCTGCACCTTCTTCTGAACATATTTGTGATCCTCTTTTCTTCCTCTATTAAGGTAGTAATTCTTAACCAGGAGTGCACATCAGAGACTCCTTTGGAAAACTTTTCAAATATGTAGATTCCCAGGCACATCCCCTGCACATTGTGATTCAGTGAATGTGGGGACAGGGAGACATATAGATTAGGCCCTGCCTGGCCACAGAAAAGGAAACCAAACAGCAAGCAGCTGAAATTCATTGAGTATTTATAACCCATCATGCACCTGGTTAAGGGATTTACAAGGATTATCATATTGAAGTCTCACAATAAATTTATGGGGTAGATGCTATCATTACCCTTATTTCACAGAGGGGAAAAGTGAGACTTCAAGAGATTTAGGAGGTTGCCCAAGGTCACACACTTTGCAAGGAGTGAAGCCTGAATCTCAAACCTTGAAGTCTGACTCAAGAACCTACATTACTCTATTTTGCCTCCTTAATCTAATATCTATCCGAGATCTATCTGAAGCATGTATCCCTAGCGCCACAAGAGATGGATGGTCATCAGTCCCAGTCCCCCCATCTTGCCTGTGACCAGAGTACTGTGTGTAAGTGAGCGCGAAGCATATTAGACAAATACAGCCTGTACCCTCTAGTAACTTAGCATCTCCAACTAGTTCCTAAATGTCTAATTAATAAGAAGAGAAAACAGTCACTCCTAATAATCTTACCATTTTTATCCATCGAATGTGGATCAGACTGCTTCTTGCCAACCTCAGCAAAAGAGCGAACAATGGGAATGAGGTTATTTCTCTTTTTTTCATTCTGATGGTGATGCTTTTTGAGCAGGGCTTCTCGTACTTTAACCCTCATGCTGTCATTCAGGTCACTGAACAGTTCTTGCTGGTCCAGGATCAGGTCTGGAAAGCAGGCGCTAACATGAATACTCCAACTGACAGTCAATGAACTCAAAGAGGGCAGCGTCAGGTGGGGTGAGGGGTGAGGGGCACGGAGTAGGGGGAAGCAGTTCCATCAGGTACAACTTATGCTTCTGTGCCCAAAAGAGTTATCTGATGATAGCAACTGTGGCAAGTTACACTTGATTCGTGTGACAAATCATTATTAGAAACTATCGAGCACTGGGGCGCCTGGGTGGCTCAGTCGGTTAAGCGTCTGCCTTCGGCTCAGGTCATGATCCCAGGGTCCTGGGATCGAGCCCCGCATCG